CAGGCCCTCAAGGCCAGATTTTGACCTGAGGCCTAGTTCACTACAGTCCCCCCTTTGGAAATCATCGCCTGTCCATGGGGATGAATTCCAACATGAACTTACGCCTTCGAATGTCCTTGAGCTTGATGTAATCCAGCAAGGAAAACAAAAGTCAAAGGATGTAATTCCACAATGTTTTTGATAATTCCATTGTGTTGATGGTAATTCCATAATGTTGTTGGTAATTCCATTGTAGCAATGCTTTAACCCCTTGGAAACAGAGTCTGTAATCCATTGGAAAAAGTCATATAATCCACAACGGTAAATCCACAACGAATGGAGGTGTTGATTGATCAGCATACAGAGGGGTTCCCTTGGATTGAACTGAAGATGCGGCCACTGGATGAAGATTGGAGACCAAGGTCAGGATTGCAGGTCTCCTCCAGCGAAGGTCATCGCTGGGTGGATGTCCAGTCTGTGCCGTTCTGGTTCAATGTGACATGCAATTATGTGGTTTAAGGTGGGCTTATGAAGGGGATTTTACATAAGGCCTTAAACTATATGCACCTGGTGTGTAAGCTATTATGATTGGGAACAGCTACAGCTACCAGTTAAGGGATGGAACATGCTGAAAAGGGTAGCTATAGGGGTCTATACCTATAGAAGAGTGTTCCAAACTATTTTTCCATTCCTAACTTGGTTTAAGTTAGATTTACATGGTAAAATATAGTTTGGTTCAATTGTCTGTTGTCTTTTAGACGAACGACTTGAGATTGGGTGTTTGGTTTCCCCATAAATGTTTTTGAAAGTCTATGGCGAGACTCATCAAAAAGAATTAGCTATCCCCCCGAATAGAATTGTTCGAGTAGGTTCGGCTTAAGCGTTGTGAGACCAATGTAGATTATGGTACTTAAGGTAGCATTAATATACATTGACTCCGCAAAGATTGCATTTTAACGAATGAACTGCATGTTGGCATAGTTAAAGGCCTCTTAGTCTCTAACTTAACTACACACAAAATTCATTCTTGCTTGGGGTGTTCAGAAACAATACCAAAAACCAATTAAACGATGTCTCAACATCGACAAAACAGTGACTAAGCAACCAGTAAAACAACGTTTCAACATTGACAAAAGCAGTGATTAAGCAACTAGAAAACGACGTTTCGGTGCGCCACTCACTCTGAATGTCAGATTTGATCATGTTATCGCGTCTGGTAGCATTATCCTAACTGGCGTCACCCCCCTTCGGTCATGGGAGACCGCGAACACGGGTGAGGACGTCGCTCCATGAGCTAAAGTTAGGTTGTCCTTGAGTAGTTTTAACTGTTTGCGCAGCTGAAAGAGGACTTTAAGGTCTGGATTGGAATCCAGTTCGCTTTTCGACGGAGTGTATTTGTCTGGGTCAGTCAGATACAGTATCATCGATTTAATTGCAGGATCATCCAACTTCTGAAGTTGGATGATGTGTGGGTCAGTTGAAAATGACTCTTCATATTTTAAAAGAACTTGGCGAAGTTTGTCTCTTTCTTCATCAGATGTCAGAGCGTCGGCTTGGGCGACCACCTGTTCAATCTGTGATGAGACTGATAAGGGTTCTTGCTCCTCAGGGAGCTCCAACGAATCCTTTCCTGAGTCGTCGGACCTGTCTATGGGTAAGACACCATAGGTTTGAGGTCCTTGGTCGACGTCATCGGTTGAGAAAAGAGCTATGGCCTGTGTTGGTTTCGTGAAACATACTGGCCCAGCTTCTTGACTCGGTACCAGGTTATCTGGGAGTCCTCCCAGAAATGGAATGCCTAGTTCAAAATCATGAAAATCAGGTTCTGAGTGTTCAGCTTGCGATGACTCATCATCGTTTGTGTGTGAGTTTACCCCCCCTTCTTCCGATGAGGGTTGTTGGAGGCCACAACAATAAAGTCTTGGTGTGTTTCACCGACATCTGTAATGTTGTCATTCGCGCCTTCAGATTTAGTAGCGATCACATCACTACACAGTGCTCCAGGTTGGATTCCCATTTCAGCGTGTTTCAAAGTTTCTGAAAACCTTTGTAGTTTCTCTGTCTCTTCCGAGCTCAGAGGTGTAGGGCATTGTATCTGGAACTTTTGTGATTTTATCGCCTCGGTTCGTTTCGTCCGAGGTGGGGGACGGCTAGGTACGTCTTTTGGGGGTTCCTTTTCGGACTTCCCCTGATAATATGGGTCCTCTTGGATCCCATATCTTTGCGTCCTACGCACACCCCATTTACGATAATCGCGTTCCTCCTCTGAAAGAGGAGCTTTTCTGTCCTAGCGTGCACCTTCATTACACGGTTTGTTAGTTTGAAAATACTGCTTTTTCTCGCCTGTTTTAGGAGGAGGGGTCAATGCACGCCGTCCTTCCATTTCTAGGGAGTGGGGTTTAACCTTTATACCAGGAAACACCTCTATGGGCGTCTTAGCATGAGAACATGCCTCAAACACATTCACAGCACACTGTTTAATCTCATTGATGGATTTTTCTCTGAAATTTGCCATAATTTGTACTGACATGCGTATGTCAGTGTGGAGATTTTTGCTGAAAACAAATTTAAAACCTTCTTCTTCCTCCATTCCGGTTTCATTTCTGTAACCAAAATAAGCTTGGAAGATTCTTTTGTAATAGACTTTTGGATGTTCATGCTTGCCCTGCGTGACCTTTTCAGCGGCTGGGAAACCAGCAGGTCCCGTGCAGGGGTCGTACTCTCTGATCAAAGCTTCACACAGAAGGTTGTAATCCTTTCTCGTTGCATCAGGTAGACGCTCGATGAAGGTGAACACCTCTCTGTCCAAAGTGAGCCTTATCAGACTGATTTCATCCTCAACCGTAGCATTAGGATAATGTTTTAGCCTGAATTCAATGTCTTTGAGGTACGCTTTTGTTCCAGTTGAACCCATTGGTCCCGGTACAAAGCGTTGTACATATTTTGAGAGTTTTAGCAGAACATCTATTGAAAGAGGAAATTTCCATGCACGCTGTTGCATGGTTGGTAGTGAAAACCTGTTCAGGTCTACTGTAGTGAACTAGGCCTCAGGTCAAAATCTGGCCTTGAGGGCCTG